GTAGGCATTTCGAAGGTCCCCTCGCAGCCTTCTCTTCTCCAGGCTGAACAAGCCCAGCTCCCTCAGCCTCTCCTCATAGCAGAGATGCTCCAGTCCCCTCCTCATCCTCTTCGATAAACACTTCGATACAAACCCCAAGACAAATTTCATACACTGCAGAGCTCCTCAGCTCACGTGCTCCGTGCTGAGCAGGGCAGCTCCCAGCACCCACCCAACCCCAGGCGATGAACCCCCCGGCTGGGACAACCCCCACCGAGCTCCCCAGCATCGGCGCCTGCCGCCACCTGACACGAGCCGAACCCCAACATCACGAGCAGCGTTCTGGAAGGCAATCAAAGCCTCCACCCTTCCCACACCGCCGCAGACATAACCTATGCACTCCCCAAGATAAGTGGAGTTTAAAGGGAAACCCATCGGCGGAGAGCAGCTCTGGGTTCCTCCCCAACTGTGCGGCCTTGAACTTGCCACCATGTCAGCGCCCACGGCTTCTTCCTCCCTCCGTGCTCCTTTCCTTGGCTGGAAACCCTATTTTCCCTGGAAGCAGCCTGCCTGTTTTAAAAGCTGGGAAGAAAGTGGGGGGAAAGGGTGAAGCAACACCCCACAAGACAGATGCCAGCACTGGAAGGGGCACGAGGTCTCGCCGGGCTCTGGGCACACAGGCTAAGAGCTTCTAGCGTTTGCTCCTAACGGGGTGAATCCCATCCTTGGCACGCGTCACAGAATCCCAGAATCCCAGCATGGCAGGGGTGGGCAGGGACCTCTGTGGGTCACCCACCCAACCCCCTGCCCAAGCAGGGTCACCCAGAGCAGGGGGCACAGCACCGTGGCCGCTGGAATATCTCCAGAGAAGGAGACTCCACAGCCCCTCTGGGCAGCCTGGGCCAGGGCTCCGGCACCCTCAGAGGGAAGAAGTTCTTCCTCGGCTTCAGCTGGAACTTCCCAGGCTTCAGTTTGTGCCCGTTGCCCCACCAGCTCTTCTTGGATATTAGGAAAAATTTCTTTCCTGCAAGAGTGGTCAGGCCTTGGCCCAGGCTGCCCAGGGCAGTGGGGGAGTCCCCATCCCTAGAGGGGTTCAAAAACCGTGTGGCTGTGGCACTTGGGGACATGGTTTAGCAGGCGTGGGGGTGTTGGGGTGATGGTTGGATGTAATGATCTCAGAGGTCTTCTCCAACCTAATGATTCCTAGACTCCCTGCCCTCCCCATGACAACCAGCCCATCTTGCAGGGGTTAGCCCGGCGCTTACGTCCCGACGCCAGCAAGCCCACAGGAGCTGCAGAGCAAGCAGCAACAAAACCCCGAGCTCAACACCATACGGAGGTGAGGTTTAAGCCACAAGGAATTTCCACCCCAGCTTAATGGAATTTCAGGGGAGGGGGCAGAATTCCAGACGCTCTAGGAGATAATAGGATTTGCACCCCTGGTTAGGGGAGGAGGCGAGCTGGAGACTGATTAGATCTCATTATCCCCAAAAC